AGGACAGCATGCTCACACCCACTTACAGCATGCTCACACCCACTGATGGCATGCTCACACCCAGGACAGCACGCTCTCACCCACTGACCGCATGCTCTCACCAGGACAGAGCTTCCCAAGTTGAAGCGTCTTTCCCGGCCATCCTTGGGAATGGTGGGTTGGCTGCAGCTGTCCCCCTATGGGCTCGTGCTCTGGTCCCACTACTTCTGGGCCAGTCCTGGCAACTGTGCCATTTTGCTGCTGCGCTCAGCGTAAGTCAAGAGTACCTGGCCTGTCCACCCTCCCCAGGGCTCCCCGTTACGTGGCCACCCACCGAGTCAGGATTTCCAGATGCCCACTGCTCTCATGCGCCCCGGCAGCCCTTTGCACCTGCTCCGCTCACAACCTCCCATGGGACTGTGCCCCTGACCCCCACCTCCGTCCAGTTCTAAACTGACAGAGTATTTGCAACACCAGAAAAATTATCATCATAGAACACGGGCAAAAATTACTAAGTTGGGTTAGAACTGGGTAACTTGTCTTTTCTCACCCTAGCTCCTACTAAGACAGGATTTCTATTTGTTCTAGGGAGAAATCAGTAACAGGGGAAGCTAAAACGATACAAAGACCCAGACTGCCCAGGGTGGTGGCCGTAGCACAGACGCACAGCCTGGCTATGTGGCCACAGGGTGACAGGTGCTGCCATGCGTACCAGGAGTCAGAGGTACCAGGACAGGGCCCGTGAGGACCCATTTTCCGGAGCATGACTGGAGTTACTGCCTAGGATCGGGATGTTCGCTGCTGTGTTCAGCCGCACGCAGAACTCCGGCCATCTCCCTGGGCCCCGGTCAAAGGCCCATTCCGAGCAGAGCAGGCACAGACCCGGCCTGCACCAGCACGAGGAAGCCACAGCTCCCGTGGGAGGTGTCCCACGCCAGGCTGCATTTAGGGGGTGGCTCTACAGGGCGGTGAGGAGTTCACAGGAAATCTGAGAAGACAGTGCAGGGCAGACGGTTCCAAGGAAGAGCGCACTCCGCACATGGCAGGCGTTCCCGGGCAGGCTTCCTCACGGGCCGCCTACCGGCCCCAGGCAGACCCGGCCCGGCTCAGGGGCTGAATCAAATACAGCTTTATAGCTCTCCCTCTACTCACAACTTGCTCAGTGGAGGGTTTTTCCTGTGAGAGAATAAACACTCTAGAAAGATCTAGGACGCCCCGGTGTCAGGCGGTTATGGATGTGCAAAGCTTCCCACCAGGGTGTCTGCTGCCGCGGGGTCGGGGTCTCCTGGTCCTGAAGTCACGTGACAACAGCCACCGTGCCCGCCTGGGCTGCCACGTGGAAGCTGCTGGTTATGTGTCAGCACATTCATGCACTTGTTTCTGCATCCTCGACGGCTGACGTGTGTTTGTTCTCAGGATTCTTTCAAGCTGGCATTCACATTTTACTGGCTTCGCTCATGAACTCGTGAGTTACAGAACGTGTTCACTTGATGCTTTTGAGTCCCCGGCAGGAAGTCGGGTTCACGTGTGAGGTGCCATCATCACCCTGTCCACCTGCAGGCTCTGCCTCGGTCGCCTTTTCTCCCAGGACCCCAGGCTCAGCGCTGGGCAGTGGAGGAGCAAGGACAAGGCCCGCCAGGACCGGCAAAGGCCATGCCCCGGCAGCTGACCCCTGGCTGCTTGCTTGAGGTGTTGTAGGGTGGGCATGGCATCTTCTCCGCTGGTTGTGGTGCCCTCATTCTGCTTCCCCCGTGGCCATGGCCACTCACCTTGCCAGAAACACCAGGCAGCGCCCCTCGCTTGGCCGGAGCCCTGTTCTCACGCCCCTGGAGGAGTGTGTGCGGCCCCCGCCCCCTGCTGCAGGCCACTGCACCGCCCTGGGTCTGCCAGGAGACAGCGCTCACCCTGCCCCCGCTGGGTGTGCACAGCAGTTCGAGCCAAGGTGCCTTCACAGGCGCCCACTCCCAGGGCTGGCGGGGCGGCCGGGCAGGGATCGACAGGGTAGACAGTGTCCTATGCGTTCTGCTCTGGCAGCCTGTCTCTGGACACAGGTGCACCCATTCATTTCCATCCTGGACACCTGTCTCCCGGAGATGTCTGTGCAAAATCCCACCATCCCCCACCTGCCCCTGATGGCAGCACGAGCTCCCACTGGCCCAGGACATCACCCTGCAATTTCAAGACAGTTACCCACGTTCTGGTCCCTCAGCTGTAACACCCAGTGACACACGGATCAGTTTAGGTTGTCAGTCTCTGATCTCCAAAACTAGGCCACACGGGGGTGAGGCTCAGGGTCCAGCCGCTGGGGAGCAAAGGCCAGCAGGCAGTGCGGGGTGCTGGGACCAGAGGGCAGGGAGGAGGTGCACCCTCAGTCTCCATCCAGGACGTGACGTGGGGCTTGGAGATGTGCAGGGGAGGAGGCACACGCCGGCACCAGCTGCCAGGGACTGGGCTGTCTCCTCCATCCTAGCTCTGAATGGCTTTGCATTCCCACCTGCTCATCCTGGAATCCAGATTCCTCCTTCATATGGCTCCAGGACGGCTCCCTTGGAAATGAGCACTACTCACTAAGCAGCCTGAACACCAGTGTGCACCTCCCAGGGCGACCAGAAGACTGCAAACAAGAAGCACTAGGCGCTGTGTCGGTTAAGTCACCAACACTGACGAGTCCGTGTGCACCAACCAGCCGCGCACTGCTCGAGCCACTTTTCTGACCTGGTCGCTCCCTCTCCGGGCCCCAGGAGCCTCCCCCTGGGGACCAGCTCCCCCACTCCTTTCCTGAGCTGCCCGCGTCTGGCCAGGGGGCAGTCTGGCCATGCTCTGCCTGGGCCAGGCCTGGGGCCCTGAGCTTCCTCTGCTCTGGTTTCTCTCCTCTGTTTCTCAGAGCCTTCACGCTTCCACTTGGCTGGACAGGGCTGACCCTGACCACACAGCATCACGTCATCCTACCCACCTGCCTGCTCCCTGTGCCTCATAGTCCCGGCCCCGCTCCCCGCAGGGTCACGCAGGACCTACTCTATAAACCACACCCCAACCTGCTCACCCCTCAGCCCAGCACACGACAAGAGACCCCACTGTGATCCATCCATCACACAAACGCTCATGTATCCTGGCGCTGAGGAAAACCACAACTGTGTGCTGTGTGGGAGACGAGCAGCACAGGGAACAGGTGTACTTACTTTTCTCATTGGGGAAGGAGTATGGTCAACCTGCATGGACTCCACTCTGTTAAATGAACAGTGGGATACATTTAGTGAGCCCGGGTCACGTCCACACCCCATCCAGGCCCACACTCTGTCTGCTCGTGCATCGGGCTCTTCACTGGCTGCCCATGGTCTGTCAGCCAGGCGCACATGGGCACGCTTCTCCACTGGGCCCTGGCCCCACTCTGGAGCCCCTGCTCCACTCCTCGGCCCACACTCTCCTTCTTCCGTGGGCCAGCCGTGTCCTTGCCCCTCTAACTCAGGCCCAAACCTCCTGCAGTGCAAGCAGGAACATCTCGTCTACTTTCCTTAACGCTTACTGCTTGACCGACACGTTTTACACAATGGGTGCTCCTAAATGTTAGTCCCCTAATTACTCAGCCCACGTGTGACAGGGAAGTGTCGTCGGGGCAGCCCCGCAGGAGGGAAACGGCAGAAAGGACAAAGGAAGGGTAGGGGAGTGAACCGTGCGCCCGCCGAACGTGAGCTGCGGCAGAAAGGTCCGGTGCTGCACCCAGACTCAACCCCAACTGTCTCAGGGAAGAGCCATGGTGAGGGGTGCAGCTCCCATCAGCCAGGGCGGGTCAGGGTCCCCAGTCATGCCACCAGCACAGCTGTGGTCTCCTGTCCCGTTTTCTGGTTGCATTCGTTTCCAAGCGCTTCCCCCAGCCTGGCCATCTCGGTCCCAGATCGGAGTCCCAGGGACGACGACGCCCATCAGCCCAGCACGGGTGCAGGATGGCCCCCGACCAACCAGGATGACTGTGAGGACGGATCTCTGATGGGCCCGCCTGCACCACACACCTGGTTCCGGGGCTGTGCCCGTGAGGCTCTGCAGGGCACGGAGGAGCTGGAGGGAGGCCCAAGCTCCCGAGTCCTGTGCTAAGTGTTGCTGGGCGTCCAGCATCAGGGGACTTGCAGGGTGGGGGGGGCCGAGGAGAACCGGAGGTGTGTCAGAGGAGGGGCTGTGTGACTCTCAGGGGCCCTCAGACGTCCCCACCAGGCACACACCTGTCAGAGGCGGACGAGTCAGGGGGCAGGAGCGGGTGTCCGCCTGGCTTTGCTGAAGGAGCTGTGGTGGGGGTCTGAGCGTTAGGCCGCGTTCAGGCAGCCCCGCTGCATGGCTCCTCATACCCCTCCCCGTTCAGGCCCCGTGTTACTTACTTGAAACTGGAGTTTTTATTGCGCCGAAAGCTGTTTGTTGTGACAATCTCATACGAAACAGATGGAGAGAAGGTGTTAATTAAACCATAAACGTCTACTCCCACGTAATTCATTCCAGTTTGAAGTAGAAGACGACAAACAGTCAGAGGCTCCCCGCCCGCCCGGCCCCCCATCCCTTGCCAGCCTCACTTTCCACCCAGAGCAGCCCCCTGAGGACAGGCAAGTGGCCTGCGCTCGCTCTGACCTGCCAGTGCCCAGTGCTGGGAACAAGCAGGTGCTCGACAAAGACCTGCCGAGTGACTCACTGACCAGGGGGTAGGGGCAGGCAGACGTCTGCGCTGTGGCGACCCAGCACCTCCGAGGGCACTGGCTCACACATGTCTGTTCTGTGCCGCCCTCCCCAGGACACGGCACTGCAACAGAGCCGAACCCCCCAACGCCCCCCTGTGAACGCCGCGCTGCATGACTTCTGTTCCTCGCGCGCGGGCAGCGGTCTGGGTGAGGGTGTCCTCCCCCAAGCCAGGGACGCGCGGAGCGAGCCAGCAGGATGACCCCGCCCCAGCCAGGCCAGAAAGGCTCCACCTGGCTCGAGAGCCCCGGGGAGAACAGGCAGATCTGGACTCTCAGGAGTCAGGTGTGGGAGACACACTGCCTGTGATGTGCCTGAACAGAAGATGGGGACAAAAATAAGCTACCGCCACAACGGCCAAAAGGACCAGGAACCTTCTAGAAACGCAAGACTGAGCCGCCAAAATGAACCCAAGGCGGAAAAGGTGTGCAGCGCAGAGCTGAGCACAGAAGCAGGACCAGGGGCCGCACGGGAGCAGCCCGGGGAAAGACAGTGGCTGCAGATCGGTTCCCCAGAAAGAAAGGCACTTGTACACCAAGGAGGACGATCCGAGTGACCCCACGTGGGCACTCCCTGGACTCGGACGGAGCAGGGCCTCACCACTAGGTTGGCTTCTCGGGACCTCCACTGCTGTGCCGGCCGGGGGCTGGATCTCCCCGGAGTGTGTGGAGCCCAGAGCACACCCTCACCCTGGTGCCGGCTGGTGGCGGCCCATTCACCCCAGACAGGCCCCGTGGTGGCCACGTAGCTTCCAGCTGCCCAGGGCCCCCCGGCAGCAAGCATCCCCCTGCAGTGTGTGGGTCACCCCTGCACACGTGACCAGCTGGGTGGACAGCAGCTCCCCAGGGCCACTGACTCTGCAGACTTTAACCTAACGTGCAACCTGGCAAACTGGGGCTTTCACAGAGTCCCCGTGTTAACACACCTGAGAGAACCACAGTCTGTCTCACAGAACAGAAGGTGCTGTGGACCGTAAGGGGGCCGGGTGGATGCTGCCCTAGGGCAGACCTCGGGCCCCACACAGATGGACACATGGGCTGCACGCATTCACTGTCACGGGCGCCATGATTCCTGGCAGAGGGGAGGCCCCAGGCTGTGGGCAGGGGAGCCCCTCAGCCCCAGGACCCTCTGGGGAGCCCCCCCAGGGGAGCCAGTCCTGTGTGTTTTCACGGCTCTCTCTGCTTCCCACTGCACTTTTGCTTTGACAGAAGCTTCCAGTAAATCAAAGTACAAGGTCTTACAAGGTCAGACAGCCAAGCGGGCAGCACTCAGCTGCCCCGGGTGTGCCCGTGGAGAGGACTCACCTCTGAAGCTGTTCCATCCGCAGCACTGACTTCTGAAGGGATTCCTCCAGCTTTGTGATCTAAACACAATCAGACTTCTGGTTATCAGGCAGACTGGGCGGAGAGAATCAGAACGTGGCCGCCACAGGAGCTGCCCTCTCGCTGTTTCGGGGTAAATCTGCACTGCGTGTAGGCCGTCGGGGGCCCCGGGAGCCAGCGCTGGGAAGCTGTCTGGGCAGCGCGAAGCCGTGCAGTGTAGCCCAGCCTCAGCAAGCAGCCTCGCCCTGGTGCTCCTCTGAGCTGTCTACACCCCAGATGCGAAACTAGATGAACACTGCCGCTTTCACCAAAGCTCTGCTCTCCTTCCATGTAGAGGAGGGTGTTTATAGGGCAAACAGGCATCTTGATGTCCTTTTGTAAGGTTTCCCCAGGGCAACCCCACAGCTGCTATGTGTGGAAAAGTGCCTGATGAGCTGTGGGGATGTTCATGGTCAGTGTTGTCGCAAAGTGTAACTGCCCCCGTGACCATGGCTGGGTCCCCCAAGCGGCCACATGCCAATCACAGATGAGAACCCACGCGGGGCTGTGGGTTAGCAGGACAGGTGCCAGCCAGGCGCCCGCCGCCTGGGACACGGCCTGGGTTAACTAGGCAGCAAGTCACGGGAGTTACCTTTTCTCTATAGAAGGTCAAGAGTCTCTTTCTGTGCTTTTCTTGAAATTCTGCAATCTGAGAAGAGAGTATGTGTCAGCTGCCGGCACTGGCGCGGGCTGCTACCATGCACGCTGTCCCGGAAGTCAGGGTTTGGGATGGACCTCTGGTGCAGACACAAGCACACTCCGCTTCTCTATACCGTCCCCCTGCCCGCCCGCCGCCGGTCCAGGCGTGGGCTCTGTTGGCTGCCACCCTGTGCCTGGAGCAGAGCTCGGTACAGCCGTTCCAGCTGTGTGTGCAGTGGCATGTGCCCAAATGCACGTGCGAGCGGAGGCAGCGTGCTCCACATGAAGGTCACACAGGCCACAAGGGCTGCACCACGCCCCTTGCTTGCAGCTTCAGTGGTGCTCAGGGCCTCGCCATGGGACGGGACACAACCCAGTGGGCCAATCGCAGTGTACCATCATCCCTCTGGCCGCAGCAACTGGATCACGGGACAGCCTCTTGACCAAACAGCACCCACGGGGAACACCCTGGACATGTTACGTGGATGGGGCTGGCTGAGAGGGCACAGCGCCAAGTGGGGCCCAGAGAGCCCAGGGACCTTTTCTGGACCCCCAGGGCCCACTGCACCTGGGACCACCTCTGCTCTTCCATTTATTTATTTATTTTTAAATTTTATTTATTTATTAGAGAGAGAAAAACAGCATGAGAGGGGACAGGGTCAGAGGGAGAAGCAGGCTCCCCGCTGAGCAGGGAGCCCGATGTGGGACTCGATCCCGGGATTCCAGGGTCATGACCTGAGCCGAAGGCAGTCGCTTAACCAACTGAGCCACCCAGGCGCCCTCTGCTCTTCCATTTAGACGGGCCCCAATTTCCACATCTGCGGTAGGTTCCTGAGAACACCAACTAAATCAGAAACAGTGATCTGTGATTTACTCAGGGGAGGAGAGCGCCACCCCACATTAAGGGAAGTTCTATTTATTTATTTAATTTGTCGGGGGGGAGCAAGAGCACAAGCAGGGGGAAGGGCAGAGGGAGAAGCAGGCTCCCCACGGAGCAGGGAGCCCGGGGATGCGGGGCTCGATCCCAGGACCCCGGGATCATGACCTGAGCTGGAAGCAGGCACTTCACTGACCGAGCCACCCAGGCGCCCTAAGAGAAGTTTTCAGTGATGCCTCCCCTCTGGGAACACTACACTGTAACCGCTAAAACTTGATTCTGCTGCCCCCCGGGCAGGGTTCCTGCAGGACTGGGATGTGAAGACAGCACCCTCTAGGTCCTACACCCCATCAGTGTACCCCAGGACTCTGCTTAGCAGACAGACACGAAGGGCGGCTGGTGCTGTCCCCAGGCTCACTGGGCTAGCACAGACCGAGGGAGAAACCACCATGGACTGGACGGCCAGCCCCCAGCAGGTCTTCAGTGCCTCCTCTAGGGCCTGGGCCACCTCCAGAAGACAGGACCACGGTCAGGAGTGACAGTCTCTTCCTATCCTCCTGCATCTTCCCAGGGATTCCACAGCCTCGGGGGTCTGGAGGACACACCACATGGGGCCCCTGCTCCACAAGACAAGGGCCGATGGACACAGGGTCTGCCTGGAGCATTAGTCTGTGGTGGGGGCACCACGAGGGGCCTGCAATGTCACCCCCATGGGCATCTGCGTCTTCATGAGGCCACATCCCAGAAATGTCCTTGCTGCTCGGCGACAGCTCTCAGGTCTGGCTCCCAGGAGGGGGTGAGGTGCTGGGGGACAGAAGGGCCAGCTGGGTCCGAGACTGGAGGCGGGGGCTGTGCACAGTGGGGAGGCATTCTGGCAGATCTAGAGGCACCCCCCCGCCCACAGCCGCCTTCAGCCAGGACTGGGCCGACAGTCTGTTTGCTTGGTCTCATCCCTCAACAGGTTCTGTGCCCGCGGCAGGAAGAGCCTGTCACACACCAACCCCTAAACCTCGTGTCCTGGTGCAGGGTCCACTCTGAGAGACAAAGCAGGAGCATCTGGAAGTGACCACAGGATGGCCCACCTGCAGCGTCCAGGAGCAGGGCTGTGTCCACGCTGGCAGGTGGGCCTGACCTCAGAAGAGCTGGGGCTCAGCAGGACTTGTGGACGGGCCTGTGGCTGTTCTTAAAAGAGGACAGGCAGAGACCAAGCGTGCAGGCCTCCGTGGCTGGCACAGACAGGACAACGCACTGAGGCCACAGCAGGGACCGGGCCACAGGCAGAGCTGAGCCGGGAGAGGGGCCTGTGGATGGGACGCTGAGTCCCGAGGGGCCTGGTGCAAGTCCAGGGGCAGCGTGGACCCCTGTGGCCATATGCCACCCACCTGTACCAGGCAGGGGCCAGCCTCCAGGACTCCAGGGTGTCAGGCCCCTCAGGCTGAGTTGCTGCGGCCTTGACCAGGGCAAGGGATGTGGACACCAGCAGAACGAAATGTGAAAGGGCCATGACCCTCATCTGGTACAGAGTGCCCTCCTGCACGGAGGCGGCACCCGTTTTGTGAGATTTTTATGAAGGGCGGAGGCTGAGGAAGCCCAGACCAGGAGCTGAGCATGTACACACCCTCTCTGGTGGTCCCTGTGATGGGCAGGGGAAGCTGTGGGACAGCTCGGGGCGCCTGCCACCCTGTGGGTGCATCCTCCTGAGGGGCAGCCACGTGTCCACGCTCTGACTGACTGATGAGGGCCAGCCCTGGCTCAGGGAGGTGCTCAGGGGAAGGAGGATTTCTGCTTCTTCCAAACTAGATCAGGAAGGGTGACCTCCTGACCGCTTCCTTGGACCCACCTGCTGTGGTTCTGACACCCATTCGTGCCATGGCCTGAGGGTGGCTTTACGCTCTTAAAATTACTGTTGATGCAGGTTTGCTCCGTCAATGCTTCCCTACTAGAAGTAATACCGAGAGGAATTTACGATACGTATCAATTCATTCAAGAGTAACAAGCCCAGTATGTTAACGTGCATGATGATGCGATATCCTGTCGTGAGGCCTCTGGAAACTCCACTTCACACCCGGACAGATGGGCACGTGGCCATGGGACGTGCGGCCCAGAGGTGTGAGGGAGGTCCCTGGCAGCTGCCTCCGCAGCCCACCCCCCACCCCTGCACGGGCGCACGCTCTGCGGAGCCGTCTGGAAACTCCATGTCCTTGGTGAGACTCTTGTAAGCACAGGGCTGCCCGTGGTTGTGAATGCCATGGGTTTGAGGACCTCCCAAGCCTGATCGTGGGCAGCTTCTGGGGCATGTGTGTGTGACTATGGGGCTACACATAGATGGCACAGCCATGACACCGTGGGGCTTCTGGCTTTGTCACTGCTGGAGAGTGGCCGTGCAGAGGAGGGGAGGTCTCGGCGGGGCTGGCACCGGCCCAGAACGGTCAGGGTGGGTACTGCTCTCCCTCGGCCTGCTGCCCCAGGGGAAAGGTCCTAGCTGGAGGCAGCTCCTGGATGCTGCCCCGCTCGGCCTCCTCCCCCAGAGGGTAGGTGGGAGGCGGCCCGCAGGGGGCTCAGCGTTAACAGGGAGAAGCAGGATGGCTGAGGGCTGGAGGGCTCCCTTCTCTCCCAAGTGGCTTCGTGGACAGAACGGCGGCCCGCACCTTGTCCAGGGACGGCCGGGAGGCCAGGCGTCTGGGGCGGGATGTGGGGTGAGCACGGATTCACAACACTAGAGGGAGGGGGGGCAGCAGGTGAGATGTGGGGGCGGGGCAGGCGAGGTGAGGGGAGCGGGGCTGGGAGGAAGACAGGCACCCCGGGAGCCAGGGGAGAGCATATGCCCACGTGGACCATGACCCTCAGAAAGGACAGCCTCACGAAGCAGCCCGCAGGCTCGATCTGGGGCCCTTGCAAACCCGAACCGTCAGGCCTGTCCCAGATCATGAGGTTCAAACGACAGCTGTATCCCCGCACACAGCAGCAACAACCAAACACAGCCAATGGCTTCGTCTCAGCGAGGGCAGCCATGGGAGGCCGAGAACCTTATAGGAGGGACTGGTCTCCAGAGCTTATAACACCCTCTCTTCCTCTGAGGTTATCACAACACCGAGTCTCTGAGGCGAGGCGGACGGACGGGGGTCACACTGAGCAAGCCACGTGTAGAGCTCACCTGGCAGGTCTCTCTGGAGTACTTCTGACACAGGCCGTCTATGCCCATAAATAGCGCCTGGATATCTGCGTCGGTCTGAAAGGGAAGGAAAGCTGGGGTCCGTGTTACTGCTTCCAACACGGGCATACAAACACCGTGGAGAAACATCTACAATCAGCCACAGACGACACAAACAATCAGCACCCCACCAACCATCTCCAGGGGGCCTGGGAGGCTCGCCTGTGTCCTGGCTGCTGTGGCGGTCGGTCAGTCCAAGGACTGAAGGGCGGTGCTAAGGGGCTCTGGGCACCCACTGGAGGGCAGAGTGGCCTTGACCACAGGGGCTCATCTCTGCGGTGAGACACAGCCCTCCTCGGAAGGACGCCGTCAAAGCCAGGCTTTCATGGTGGAGACACACGGAACTCAGAGGAAGGAAAAAAGCCGAGGAGAACACTTTCAACCAATCACAAGTATGTGCAAGATACTCAGCAAGCAAACATAAGGTACTTAAACACGTAAGGGTTGAAGGAACAGTGTCTGCCTACTTCCAACCCCTAGTGCAGACCTGCCCTGCCTCCTCCCCTGACCACAGCAGCAATAAAAGCCCGGGCAGCAGCCGTCCTGCGGCAGGCGTCTGGGAGGAGTGGCCATCAACCAGAAGGAACAGCTGGGACACACACCAGACCGAAAAGGTGCAGGAAGAGCCTTCGGCGACCCCCTGTCTGGTCTTGGTCTGGACTGTAAACAAGTCATGAACGTCAGGACGGCGGTTTGGGGGCCATCTGTGACCCCAAACTCCACTAAAACAACAGTGAAACTAAATTAGGTCAGTGGTAGAAACTGGGAATTGTACCTTGAAGGGCCAGGGCCTTCTGGTGGGGACAGTGCAGGGGCCAGGAGCAGGTCTGGCTTTGGGATATGAGGGGGCTGGAGTGGCGTCAGGACGGCGGGGGTCCCCGCACAATGCTGCCTGGACAGACCACTGCACACGGGGCGGCATGGCCCACAGACAGGGCCCGGGGCCTCCAGGTTCGTGTGAGCCCTGCTCTGCGTCAGCTAGACCTGCCACCCCGGCACGTGGCCTGATGTCTCCGAGCCTCCGTCCTCCCAGTGAGGCCAGCAGAAACGGTGCCTTCCCTGAGGGCCATGCAGAGCTCCCCCAAGAAGCGTGGCCAAGCCTGGTGCTCAGCAAGTGGGGACCATGCCTGTCTGTAAAGATACGTTACACACACACAGATGACCCCCAACTAGATGAAGAGCTCCATGGACCAGAACTGCAAGCATCTGGAAACGCTGTGACTGGTCTGTTAGGGTCCACTGCCTTCTGAGAGAGGACTCAAGCATTCTACACGTGGCAGAGGCCCCAGTGGCACCGGAGGCTGTGGAGACAGAGCAAACAAGGGTTCTCCAGTCTAACAAAGGCCCCCACTGCACAGGCTGCGCCATCTCTGTGAAGCCAAGCAGCACAACTCCGCAGACAACTGTCATCACACACAGGACAGCCACACTGTGGACGGAGACAGACAAACAAGGAAGGAATATGATCAAAGCACCAGAAAAACATTAATGTCCATTAAAGAATTCTAAGCTCAGTGAAAATATGCTTCAAAATAGAGGCAAAAAAAAAAAGAGGCCCTTTTCAGACAGACAAAAACCAGAGAAATTTGACATCAACAGAAGGCACTGCCTTCAGGTAGGAAATGGTTCCTCGGTGGGAGCAGGGGTTTCAGGAGCCAGTGAGGAGCATGTGGGGCAACCACAGATCCCAGCGGTGACCGCACACTAGCTGCCCTGTGGGGCTCCACGCAGACAGAACGACACCACCCACCAACAGGGTAGTGGGGACAAAGACCCTTGCTTCGGCAGGAAGATCTACTGCATACGGGACTTCAGGAGGTCAAGGCCATGCCATGGTCTCTGGGGTCACAGAAATGAACCCTGTCTTGGTCTGAGTGGGGGACACGTTCAGGTCACAAATGATTCCCAGAGCCACGGGCTTGTATCTGTGCACTTTTCTGTATTAGACTTCAATAAAAGTCAGTAAAAATAACTAAAAATCCCCAAATATTTCTAAGTCAATATACTTTCAGAAAACACACAGGTCATGGGAGTAATTGAACAGAAATTTCAAATTATTTCTAAGTGAAAGACAGTAAAAATGTAAAATAGCCAAGCACACACAACGCAGGCAAGGGCAAAGAGAGGGATGCCCCAGCCCCACAGCATAAATGCCAGGAGGGAGAGGCTAGGAGCAGACGGAAGCACCCATCTTACAGAACAGACTAAATGCAAGGAATAAAGAAGAAAGGAAATGGTAAGAACACAGCTGAGAACAAATGTAAAGTGAAGAGAAACACTAGTTCTCTGAGAACACTGATAAAAAGTCAATAAAACCAGGCAAGACTGTTGAAGAAAAAAGAGAGAAGGCACAACAACCATCATTACAATGACAAAGCAGCATCACTACGGATCTCACAGACCCTGAAAATACAGATGGCCGCAGACACACTGACGATGAGAAACTTGAAAATTCAGATGAAGTGCACAAACTCCTAGAGAAAGACCACTCACTTAAGCTGACCCAAGAATTGGGAACTCTGAAGAGTCCCATATCTAATTAAAAAATTAAAACCCAAGTTAAAAACCTCCCCACAAAAAGCCTTCTAGGATCAGATGGTGTCAGGCATGAATTCTAACGTACATTCTCTGAATGATCCCAATCTTAAAAAAAATCTGCAAGAGAAGAGAAAAATGAAAGAATTTTCAACTCCTTTTATTAAGTCAGCAAAACCCTGATTCACCAAAACTTGAAAATGGCATTGTAAGAAAGGAGAGTTACAGGTCGGTTCTCACATGAAGAGAGGTGCAAAACCCCCAAATCCCTCTGCCCATATAGGCTATACTGCGTCACAACCAAGTTACAGTGTTTAAGATTCTACTGTGGGGTTTAGGGGCGCCGGGGTGGCTCAGTTGGCTGAGCGTCCAACCCTTGGTTTTGGCTCAGGTCACGATCTCCGGGTCATGAGATCGAGCCCCACATCGGGCTCCATGCTCTCCTCGGAGTCCGCTTGAGATTCTCTCTCTCCCCCTGCCCCGCCCCGCCACTCACATGTGCGCACACACTCTGTCTCTCTAAAGTAATAAATAAATAAAATCTTTAAAAGAATTGTACTCTGGGTTTAAAATTCTAAAAATAAATGCAATTTACATCAACAAAATAAAGGAGAAAAATCAAATGATAACCTTGATATTTACAGAGAGCCACTTGATAGAGTCCAACATGGCTCATGATAAACCTTAGCAAGAAACCCAAGGTGCACATGAATACTCCACTGGAAGCTCCACCCTGAAATCAGAAAGAGACAAAAGATGCCTGACATGCAAAGGAGAAACAAGAAGGCAGAGAGTAAGAACGGGAGGGATGACAGAGATTAAACACTTAGAGATGATATGGTTGTACATAGAGAGGGTCTAGAAAAAGCTCCAGATCGGCCAGTAGCATCAGGTGACTTTAGCATGGTCACCAGATAAAAGCTAATAAAATCAACCAATTTTTATACACCAGCAATAAGCACTAAAAAGATGACATTTTAAGAAATGAGTATGGCAGGGCGCCTGGGTGGCTCAGTCGGTTGGGCGACTGCCTTCGGCTCAGGTCATGATCCTGGAGTCTGGGGATCGAGTCCCGCATCGGGCTCCCTGCTCGGCGGGGAGTCTGCTTCTCCCTCGGACCCTTCCCCCTCTCACGTGCTCTGTCTCAAATAAATAAATACAATCTTTAAAAAAAAAGAAATGAGTACGGCAGCATCCCAAATCAATACCCGAGGGTGAAGCGAACAGTGATACACACAGCCTCTATGCAGAAAACTGTTACTGTTAGTTACTGAAACTAGAGCACATCTAAGTAAACGGAGGCGTGCCACGCTTATGGACTGGAGAGTCCACGTTGTAGAGACGTCAATTTTACCCACATTATCGATGAAGTGCATACCCAAGAGACCTTGTGTCTGGAAACTGATGAAAGAAACTGATTCCAAAAGTTACGCAAAGGACTTGGGCTAATTGTGCAACAGAGAGCTCCCAACCTCAGTGGCTCAAGGGGGACACTACCCGCCCACACATTAGCAGAAGGCTGGACTCGGTGGATGGCCTTCCATTCAGGGCCCAGCAGCTCTGCCCTGCTGGGTCAGCAGCATCCACTTGGCTGAGTTGGGGGCTTTCCAGGAGATTGTTTTGGGAGCCAGGTTTGGAGTGGCGTTGCTCATGGGAAGCAGGTGGGGAGATGGAGTCTAGCTGGGGGCCCAGAAAGAAGGGCAGCAGGGCCAAGGACAGCTCCCAGCCAGGCCAGTCTGTTCCAGTGGCTGGTGTCTATTTCTCTCTTCTCTTACCCAGAAAAGTCACCCCCCCAAATGCCCCATCTCTGAGTTCATACCAAACCCATGTCCTAGCAGGCATGTGGTCTTGTCCTGCAGGTCCTGATCCGGGCTGCATCCTAGGAACTAGGCCCGTTCCCACCGTGAGCAACCTCTGACCTGGGGCCTGGGGCAGACAAGTGAATCCACCCCTCAAAGGTCAGGGGGAAGTCAAGAGAACAGAGCAGTCACAGAGACCCTGTGGGTGGGTGTCCTGGGGCTCCTGCCCTGGGGCCATCTTCATTAGACAGGCCTCTGCTGTCTAGGAGAGCCTCTGGTCTAGCCAGCTCCAGTCCCCGGTTCTGCCCACTGGGGGTTCTTCCTCCTCTCCCAGTTCCCCAGGGCCCTACGTGAAGTGGGCATGAGGATGAGTGCCCTGACCACTCATGGCCTCCAGGTCCCAGACACCACTGGCTTCTCCGGGGTTCAGCGCCTCCCCACTGCAGCCCTCTGCTGCAGCCATCCCCTCTCCATCTCTGCTGGAGAACCTGCCAACTGCAGTCGAAGTGCAACCCCCTCTTGTCCACACACCTTTCTGCTCTGCTCTCTGCTTTCACCAGAGGCTCTGTCCTGCAGACCTGCCTGCCTCCCAGGTTCCTGCAGGCTCCCCAGCTTCAGTCTGCACTGTCCCCTCACCACTACCACCTGACAGATAAGGCGGTGTACTATTTTGTGTGTGCGACAGTGACGGCCCTTTTCAATGACAGACAAATTAAGAAATATAAGTGGTGCCCTGTGTGTGAAGCTAAAGGAGCAGGTGTGGGCAACTTTCATACTGCAGGTCCCAGGAAATCAGCTTAGCCTGTTACAGTGTGTTTGGTTTTAACAACAACAAAAAACCCAGTCAGAATAGAAACCATCAGGGGCACTGCATTTAGCAAGGATAGGAGTTGTTTGGTGAAACTTACTTCCCATATGTGCACACACAGATGCGTGTGCATGCAAACGCACCTACACCGTGCCGTGATATCAAGTGTCCTTCCTGCCACAGGTCAGGGAAGGTATGGTCACACAGAACCGTAGGCAGAGACCTAAAGGCAGTGGGTGAGGGGGGAGGTGGAAGCTGTCTGGCCCCAGGGGCAGTGGCGGGGCAGAGTCGCCGGCCAGGGGACCAGGTGTCCACCAGAGGCCAGGCCACAGAGCCACGGGCGTGAGGGGATATGAATTTACTCCCAGGAAGCTGGGACACATGACCCACGTTGGCAGATCCCTCTGGATGCAGCTGAGAAGAGATTCCAGGGAGCAGGAGGGAAAGCAGGAAGAATGGCGGAGGGCGTTCATGTGGCCCATGGAGAACGGAGCGGGGTCCCGGAGAGACTGCTAGAAGCGCCTACAGAATGCGGGTGTGCAGGACAGCGACAGTGCCGTGAACGTCACTCTCTCACACGTACAGAGAACAAAAGAATACATACTTTTTCAAGCATGTGTAGAATATTAACAATTACTATGTATTAAGGCACAATGAAAATCTTGACAATTAAAAAAAGTAACCATATGTCCATATTCTCTGGTCACAAAGACATAAAATTAAAAATTTTCCACAAAAATGATAGAGATAAAATCTAACCTCTTAGAAATTAAAGAACACTCTCTTGAATAATTTTTTTAAGATTTTATTTATTCATTTCAGAGAGAGAGAGAGCACAAGCAGGTGGAGAGGCAGAGGCAGAGGGAGAGAGAGAAGCAGACTCCCCGCTGAGCAGGGAGCCCGACGCGGGGCTCGAACCCAGGACCCCCCGGGATCGTGACGTGAGCCAAACGCAGACAGTTAACCAACCGAGTCACCCAGGCACCCCTCTCCTGAATAATTCCCGAGTCGAAAAGGAAGTTAAAAGAGAGATTAAAGACTATCTAGAAATGATAAAAACAATGCTCCAAGTGATGTACAACAGCAGGAAACAGCAGGAAACAGATCTCTCTAAATACACTTCTAGGAAAGAAAAGAGAAAAGAGATGAATGGAGAGTAGGGCCCAGGAGGGCAGGGAAAGGCCGGGGCACCCCCTCCCTCAAAGGCAAGCCCGACCCGCTGCGCGACCCAGCAGAACCTGGCTCTATGGCCGAGGGTTTAAACTGGCACATTTCTTAAGGGAAATAAGGCGCTTTCTATTAAGTTTAAATACTTAAATCTGTGCCCTTATTTTTCCACTGCTAGGAATTTATGCTACAGAAATGTTCTTATACATATGCAGAAACACAGTAAAAAAATATTCACCGTAAAACTGAAACAATGAAAAACCACCCTCCCCCCAGCAAAACACTGAAATGCTATGCAGTCTTTTCAGAGTGTGGGTGTGCCAAAAATACCAAGTCAACTGAGAAAACACCATTTTGTAAAAAAAAAATAAGTCACAGTAACACACAGAGCAGTAACTATACCCCTACTTGTGGATATCTGTGGGAAACAAGATTTTTCTCCATTATAATCTTCTGTATCATTTAAGTCTTGTGTGACTTTGTATTATATGTGTAATCAGCAAAAAATGATTGTTATAGATTAAAACATCAGATCAAATACGTACCTTAGAACCTAAGTATAAAGAGAAAAATTATTTGCAACTAAGTTTAAAGCAAACAGGTGACACTGATGTATTTCATAGAGAGGACAAAAGACCTTGTTTTAAGCCTACTACAACAGTAACCCACTTTAAACTTCCTTTCCTCCAACCCTCTTAATTAGATACGACCCCCATGGAAATCCAAACTCTATCTCCTTCTTAAGGAGCTTGTACTGTGCTGAAGAAACCTACTCAACTTATCTTCATTTCCCAGAACACAGCACAGCAAACTACTCATAGGGCCAATCTATGGTTAAGAAAGAAAGTTGTATGAGGTATTCAAAACCAAATCCTAACTGTACTTTACTCAGAAATCTTGTAAGATCTTCTAATTAACCTAGCAAAATGAAAGAAAATTTCAGACCCCTCCCAAATGACTAAAAACTGAATCCTGAACTAAAAAAAAACACTGATTAATATCCAAATAATAGATATTTCAACTTACGTGTTTTGAAAGTAAAACCGTGCGACAAGGGACTTTGCAAATCAAGCACTTGTCTTTGCCACCTATGAAAGAAAAGTAAACTTTATTATAGTGAGTAGCGCTTTTGAATTTAAGTGCAGGCTTCAAATTACAATATTTCTTCAAAATAATACAGAATTATAGCACTTACATTTTCCACGTTCAGAAAATGGTAAGACTGTGCACGTGGACAGAGTTGAAAAGATTTATTCAACGAATAATCCATTTTTCCTGTTTTGTCAATATGCCCCAAAATAGTGCTTGTGAAGATCAACAACACTCAAACTTAAATCTATCTCAGATTTTCTTACAATTAGATTTTGTAGTGATATCCTAAGTAAAATTTTTTTAATATTCAAAATGAAAACAGCTCCTTGCACCCCATCTAAGAGATGAAGTAAAGGCTTTGTTCAGCCCCCTCGGCCTCACCTCTGCAAGACAGGAGACAGTTCACTGGGGAGGTGCTCTGTACTTGCTGAGCTCTGGCTGCCCCTAGGGCAGCGCCTGGCCCGAGAGCACAGGGCTAACGTCCTACCTGCTCTTCTCCGGGGTCTCTGGCCCAGGCCCACCTACTGCACCACCTTCTTCTCCACTCCCACCACCCTCCGTGTGGCTGGCTGCTAAGGGTAGCCTTGCATTTCCTCCCTTGCCCCCATGCGGCACCAGAGCCCCCGGGTGTCGCGGGAAAACGCCTTGAGTGGGGGCAGCAGGGCCTCTCATCCTGGGCTCTGCCCCATCCCCACGCGTCGGAGCTTCCCTTTCTCACAAACCAGCCTGGAGCCCAGAGCCGGCCAGGGAATACTGCACCCTCGTCCTGCCAAGCAGCGCACCCAGCCCAAACCCCGGCCTCTCTGTCTCCCCCTCTTCTGGTCCAGTGCAGCCAAGAACCAGGGAAACAATCACTTAACTGAGAAGTGGATTCACAGACTTGGTTCCAGCACTGCTGAACTGCAACACTGCTGGGCAACCCTCCATTTTTCTTGGGTGTTACCCCACCAATTCCCTGTGGGGGGTGTTCAAACAGGCCCCCCTTCAGTTACCAAGAAAAAAGTCATGACCTACCTCAATCTTCCTGCCTCTCCTCCACTTACCACGGAACAACTCAACTCCCTCTGCTTTCTTCCTCTGTCTCATCTCATTTCATCCCCACAGCACATGGGATGGGGTCCTTGTGGAGAAAGACGGGGTTCCCTTCCAACAGCCTCCAGAGTTGTCCCCTTTCCTCCATCCCTACAAACATGTTCAAGGGGCCCTCTTCTGAAAGCACCCACCCTCAGCAGTATGTTCCCGCCCTCTATGTCTCTCCTGGGGATTCTGGACAAGATCCCTCGGGGCACCACTACCGCCAGAAGCCATGGAGTCAAAGATGAACAGAGCTGGCTCCTAAAAATCCACGAGTTGCACTGAAGGCAGGGAAGAAGAGACTTGACAAAGACAGGATCCATCTGCAGCTAATGCGCAGGCAAACTGACGTTCACAAACAGTGCTTACAAACCTATTAAATATAAGCGCGCCAATAAAAGGTGTGAAAGGGCCCAAATGAGTAGTTGGCCAAAGTGCAGACTGACGCTAATGCACGGAACGAAAATGCCGGCCATCCACGCTGGGGACAGGGAGCAGCCACCTTTCTGGGGTGCCTAGTCCTAAGTGCTAATGCACACACCCGAGCGCAGCACCCCCACCCTTCCGGATATCCCAAAGGAAAAAACCACGTAAGTGAACAAGTGGTGCTTAACAGCAAAATATTAGAAAATACGCAGAGCTCTTAGTAGGGAATCAGTTAAATAAATCATGGCACGGCAACTAAAAGATACATTATGCAGCCTTAAAAATGATGATACAGACTTACTTTAATGTGAAAAGAGATCCATGTCCTATTAATAAACTCAGGGAACTAAAACTGGTATACACACAGTACCATTTTTGTTGTAGAAATCTGTATCCATAGGAAAAAGTCTGGAAGGATGTATACCAAAGCTTAAGGAGGGCTTACCCCTGAGTCACAGTCACTAAACAGCTAAGGAGCTGTGGTCAGTGCTCCACCCTCAGGCCCTTCCACTGTTTTTTGTGTGTCCCAGCATTGGTGGCTTTTTGGAGGAATGACCTTGGGCTACCCGACCGTGCTTCAGAAAAAGAGCCAGAGGTACGCGGGAATCAGCCTGCCCGGGGCCATGAACCAGTCCCCCAAAACTGAGAACACAGACCTCCCTGCATCGTTCTCACCCAAGCTCACCCACACCACCAACTCCGGGGGGGGTTCCAATTCTGACCCTGCCCTGGGACGCCAAGTCCACAAGCTCTGCCTTCTTCCCCCACCTTCTCCTACCTCCACCGCCTAAAGGAACGCTCTTCCCACATGACACTGTGCCCTAGCTCCCTCTGCCTTCGGCCCTCTCCTCACTCCAGTACCTTCGACTGCTACCTATGTGCTAATTCCCCAGCGTACTCCCGGCTGTCTTGACTCCCAACCCGTATACTCAGCTGCCCCCCCAGAACCTCCGCGCCCGATGTGGGCCCCGAGCCTCACCCCGGGACACAGAAGGAGCTCGTGTGGCACGGCCGATCCTCCTGCGGAGTGTTCAGATCATTCACGGTGAGCCACACGCCGGACCTCGGGACAGCGGTGACCGCCGAGGACGCTACTGCCTTACCCTGCAGGCTGCTTTCACAGGTGAATTCACTCTGGAAAACTCACTGTGCTTTGCATTCACGCGCTTTTTCTTTTTTATACGTCAATGAGAACGTCCCGTACAAAGAAAAATACGCCTCTGATCATGCCGCCAACCCAGGGACCCCGGCAAGCACGCTTTGGCCTCCGCGGCCGCCGGCTCTCCTGCAGCCCCCCGAGCTCCGCGGGCCCGTCCCCGCTTCCTTCTGCCCCCGGCGGCGCGCCTGCGCGAGGCCAGGCGAGGACGCGCCCCCCGGGCCCTGCGCTGCGCTTTCCGAGCACCTCGTCCCGGGGACTAGGTTCACGCCGCCTTCCGGAAGGGCAGCGAGGGCCGCATCCCCGGGGCTCAGGGGACCCGCGCGCTCCGCCCACCTCCCGCGGGCCCCGCCGCCCCGCGCCCGCGGTGGGGGGACGCAGGCCTGGTCTGGGGGCCGCGCCCGCCCTCACCTTTGCCCAGGCAGACGTCGCAGTACACGTGGCCACAGTTGGTCAGACTGAAGCACGACGTGCGGTGCGGCGGCTGGAAGCAGCGATTACAGAACACCCAGCCGGCCATGCCCGACCGCTCCGCCGCAGCGCAGCCCAGGCCCACGCGCCGCGCACGCGCAGCCCGGAAGCCGCCTGCCGAGCTTCTGCACCTGCGCAGACTGCAGCTGGTCACCCCGCGCCTGCGCACGGGAGAGCCGCACGGCTCCCGCCAAAACCCGTGCTGGACGGTACCAACCGGGGTGTGTGTGTGTGTGTGTGTGTGTGTGTGTGTGTGTGTGTGTGTGTGTGTGTGTGTGTGTGTGTGTGTGTGTGTGTGTGTGTGTGTGTGTGTGTGTGTGTGTGTGTGTGTGTGTGTGTGTGTGTGTGTGTGTGTGTGTGTGTGTGTGTGTGTGTGTGTGTGTGTGTGTGTGTGTGTGTGTGTGTGTGTGTGTGTGTGTG